AAAGTGAGACAAACCCAGAATGTTCAGAAAGAGTACAGTCTCTGTTGGGAGGAGGACTAGACAAGATTGGCTTGGGAAAACAGATGAGGAAGACCCTGGATGGGAGCCTCTCATTCTAACTTTGTCTCTGTAGCCCGCCCACCCTCGATGGATGAAGTGCGTGGAGGATACTGGAGACTTCTTTGAGCCTACCCTGGCAGCCTTGTTTGTTCGTGAGGCCTTCAGCCCAAGCACCCGAAGTGCTGTATGTGAGGGCTCTTCCCCAGCCTATGTCCCTCCACCCCTCCCCACCCAACATATCCTCTCCTATTTCTACTGACTGTGTCCTTCTCTATGGTTTGTGTATTTAAGGAGTCAGGCAGTCACAGAGAGAGAACCCACTGTCCACATATATCAGAGAAAGAATGCCTCGTGCTATGTCCCCAGGGTTTGCATAGTTTAGCTATGAGACATAAAGGGTACACAACATGCACTAACTCGAACAAGTCACCCAACTTTCCTGCTCTTGTGTTTCCTCAACCAGAAAATGAGAAAACTGAACTCCATGACCTCTAAGGCTACTCCTTGTTTATGATTTTTTAACAACACGTGAAATGACATGAGAATGGATTGATATAATCTCTAGAAGTGAAAATAAATAACTACTGAATACTTTTTGAGTGCCTATCATGTGCCTGGTACTCTTGTAAGAACTTCCTTTGAACTACTTTAAGTACAAGCATCATTCTGTTACTTTAAGAACTGAAGCACAGAGAGGCTTTCCCAAGCTACCAAACAGCAGAGTCAGGACTTGAACTCAGGTTCCGATACTGTCGTCCATTTTCCTTCATTAAGAAAAGATATACATGAGATGGTAAATGGCAATAACTCTATAGTCAGGTTGTAAAGCTAGGGTGACTTCAACTTGTTGGGATGCTGAAGCCCCCAGGAAGATGGAAAGAGGAAAAGCATGCCTTAAGAAAGAAGGTGTGAGGGGAAAAAGGGGTGTGTGTGTGAGGACAAGAGTCCTTGAGAACAGAGATAGTCCTCATCCTCCCTCTACTTTCTGAGTGGATTGCCTGGCCCAGAGTAAGGATGGGGTCTCCCTCCTTTGGCAGGGTGAGCTCTCCCCACAAAAAGACATAGTCTCCCCTGTCGACCCTCAGGAGTGGCCAGCTCCCACTTTCCCTTTCTGTCTCCACAGATCTTTCTGGGTTTTTGGCCACTAGGGAATACCACTTTCTACTCTCTTCCTGATATATTCCCCTTTCTCTGGCAGCTCCTCAGGGCCAAGGCCCAAGACCAAGACTGGTCCTCATCCTGTTTCTCTGTCCCTGCCCCCTCACACCCACAGGCCATGGACTTATTCACTGCCATCAAGGATGCCCTCATCACCCGCCTCAGAAGGGTTCCCTGGATGGATGAGGAAACCCGGAAAAAGGCCCAGGACAGGGTGAGGCCAGGGGAAAGAGACAGGTTGATTATGTGCAGGGCTGGGGGGTGGGATTGAGTATTGGATCAAGAGATCACAGAGGCAGGAGGAGAGCACCCAAGGCACAAGGGTACACCAACATGTGGTACCCATACCCTAGTGACAACAGGGAAGGTGGGAACAGGGCAGTGAGCAGGAGAACTTCCCTTTGATAGCTCAGGGTAGCTAGGTTCCTTCTACCTGTGTCTCTCCCCAGGTCACCCAGCTGCAGGTGAAGATGGGGGGCCCAGAATGGGCCATGGAGCCAGCGCTGGCCAGACAGAAATACAGTGATGTGGGTTCCTGCCCTTGACAGCTCCGCCTTAGTCTTCAACTTCTTCACCCCCTGACCCACCCAAATGGCAGATAATCTATTTTCCTTGGGTGATCTGAACCAATCCCTTCGTGCCCTCCTGCAGGCTGGACTTTATGGGCAAGATACTGTGGGTCTTGCCAGCAGATGAATGGAACCTTTTCAGGTCATAATGTGTGTGTGCACACGTGCACATGTGCATTCTTGTGACTTGCCTGAGGGTGTTTATCTGTGTGCTGACACATGTGAAGCCTGTCTAGCCCATGTGTGGTGTGGTGGTGGTGCACTGGTTTCCACTGTACTGGGGATGTCTGTGTGTAGGGCTAATCTGTCTGGGTTCAAATGTAGCCATCAGGGTATTTCAGTGTGGATGTACACTCGTCACCTCTTGGCTCCTCCCAGGTACACCTCGGACCCAGCTTCCTGCAGTCCTTCCTGAGTGGTATTCGATCCCGCCAAGCTAGAATTGTCCATAGCTCCTTGCAGCCTTTTCTCCACCACAGGTATGAGAGCAAAGTAGATACAGACACTGCATCCCAGAGATAGACATCCATGATTAGCAAGAGAGCAAGCTGGGGGCTCAGGGAAACAGGAACAGTGACAGTAGTTGGGGGCAACTACATATGTCTTGATGGAGCTGGTATTCATATGTGCTCATCCCACAGGTGGCAGGTGTCCCCCTGGAGGGTCAATGCTTACTATTCAATAACTGACCATGTAGTGGTCTTCCCAGCTGGACTCCTCCAACCACCATTCTTCCATCCTGCCTACCCCAGGTAAGGGCCATTCCATGAGGGTGGGCAGGAAGTTTCCTAAAAGTGATGGGCAGCTGTGGGGGGTGGGGGTGGGGGCTGGCAATGGATGGGACTTGTGGTTGGAGGATTAGGGTTAAAAATGTCAAAGGATTCTGGGGATAAGATAAGCCCTGTCTCTTTAGGGCCGTGAACTTTGGCGCTGCTGGCAGCATCATGGCCCGGGAGCTGTTGCACATCTTTGACCAACTCTGTGGGTATCAGTGGGCCATTGGGAGGTGGGGTCATTGAGAACCCAGGTGAAGGCTCCAAAAGAGGCCTAGAGGAGGAGAAAGGGAGGGTATGTGAGGGCCCTGGGTGGGATAGTCCTGAGTCTTTGCAATACTCCTGGGAGCCAGCCCAGCCTGTGGTACCCCCATGTCCTCACCCCTGCACCATGCCTCAACATTCTATTCCCTTGCCCTATTTTCAACAGTACTTCCTGGGGGCTGCCCAGCCTGTGATACCCATGCCCTAGAGGGGGCGCTGCTGTGTCTGGAGCGCCACTATGCTGCCTTTCCATTATACGGTGTAACTTCCTTCAATAGCTCCCACACGGTACTGGAGAATGCTGCAGACATGGGGGCGTTGGCAATGGCACTGCAGGTAACTCACATCCCAAAGGTCAGAATCTCTTTTCACTAGCAAAACAGACATCCCTCATGCAGACATAGTTGCAAAGCTTTCTGCCCATCATACACCCACTGAACAGTGGCCACTTGGGGATCCCCCTCCTACCTAATAGATTCCCTCTTTTCTAGGATAACCATATATTTTCTCACAAGTACATTTCTCCTGGCTCAGACCTGTGTGTCTGTGCAAAACTTGGGAAAGGGGACCATGAACTGGTTTGGGGGTTTGTGTATAGGGCATCAGACTTCCAAATGGCACAGGTTTGGAGCCTAAGGGTTACTCTCCATCCCACCCCCGTATCTAGGCATACAACAAGATGCTATTATGGCACCGTGGGGAGACCACCCTGCCCAACCTAGGCCTCACCCCCCAGCAACTCTTCTTCCGAAGCTATGCCCAGGTAGGTGGCCGCCATCTCCCACCATGGCTTGCTCCACATCAGATAAATACCCTATTGGTAAAGCTTAAAGAATCTCCACCTCCTGATATGCATTTCCCCAAATGCTCCCACTATTGCCACAGATGTTCTTTCACACATGTCCCCTTGGGCCCATCCTTTCATGTTATCACAAATTCTTCTGCCAAATTTAGCATGTCCTTCAAAAAACTAATAAAAAATCTCTACTTTCAAATCCCTCCTGGGATGAGCTCAACTTTCCCTCCCTCTTATTTCTTCTCCTGAAAATACAAACCCATGAAAAACAAGTCTTAACAGACTGTCTATAGACTACATTTCTCTTCAAAGACCTCACCCCAAGTGTGAGCCCCTCAGTACCATGTGTTCCCGCAATAGACGCTGCCCCCAATTTCTCAATATACCTAAAGACCTTGTCACAGAGTTCTTCCAATAGACCCCACCTCTCAGTCACGTACATGTGGTCTGATTCCACAGCTGGGGCCCTCCCCTGAATGCCTAGTGCCAGGTTAAATGACCCAGAACTGGGAAATGCTCTTCCTCTCTCCTCATGGCCCTTGGTCATTCCCATCCCTGCTTGACCTTTGTCTGCTGTTCATTGTACCACCTCGTCACTAGGTCTTGCCTACTGACCCTTATCTACCCTGTTTTTCTCCTTACCCTCTGTGAACCTCTCTTTCTTCCCAGGTGATGTGTAGCAAGCTCAGCACACAGGATTCTCAGGACACTCACAGCCCTCCCACCCTTCGAGTCCATGGGCCCCTCAGCAACATTCCAGCTTTCGCTAGACATTTCCACTGTCCACGTGGTGCCCTCCTGAACCCCTCAGAACGCTGCCAACTCTGGTAACCTGGCTACCAAAGAGACCTCAATGCACATATATCAATATCTCCCTGCCCCATCCATGGAATCAGGGTGATGTCTCCTCTCTTCTTTTCCAAAAATAAAACCTGGCACTTGGCTTCTGCCTGTCTCTTAATGACTCTTTCCTGATTTGCACTGCCTAAAAGTCAGAAAAGATAAAGGAGAAACTTTGAAGCAGAGTTCACAGACATGGGAAAAGGAAAGAACCAATGATTGGTGAACTGGTAGGTCTAAAGGTCAGATGTTGGGTGATTAAACAGACTAGTTCGAGATAGGAGGGCTTTGGTTAAGTCTCAGGAATCTGGCCCCCAATTGTTTCAGGATTTTATTGCTATTACTTTTATTGTAGCTATCTCCTCCCCCTAATCTGCTGTGCTGAACAAAGCCAGTAGGGGCGTGGAAGAGAGAAGAGCATGGGTCTGGTGTATTGGGCCCTGAGGGATGGAGCTCAGAGCAGGGGCAGACAAGGGGCAGGACACTGTGTGTACGTCTCCCTGGGAGTAGTGACCTAAAGCCCGGGGGAGAAAGGGTCAGTAAGCTATCATGAAGCCAAGGTAGATATCCAGGTCCTCATCCAGGAAAAAGGCTGCCACCTCATCTTCAATGTCTCTTATAAAAAAACCAAAACACTGGCCACATTAAAGCACAAGGCTAGGTCAAATAGGTGGTCACGAACAGCTGTGTTCTCCATCTCCGATGTCTTGTCATCCTCTTGTTGGGCCATGTTCACCTCCTGCCACATCTCACCCACTGAGGAGGCCACAAAGTACTCTTCAAACTGCTCTTGATTTTGGTCTGGAACAGGGAAGAGGGGGAAGGTAATGAAACACCAATCCTAACCTGTCCCTGTACAGGAAAGGGGAAGAAGTTGGAGAATATGGGGAAAGTTAGGTCCTGGGACTTTTAACTCAGTTATCCATATCCTTGTCCTTTGACCGGAGAGGTGATGCTCCATCTGGGGGTCACTTCTGGTCTGTGTGAAACCACAGCTCCAGCCCAAGAGCACAAACACCCCATTTCCAACTCAACTGTGTCCTCCAAAGTGTTACATCATTTGGGAGTGAGGGACCACCTTAAAAAGAATGAAAACCAAAGATCCTCTTCCCACACAAATGCATGTATGCTCATACTCATGAAAGCTCCATGCAATTTCCACTGGCCTGGAGTATTCCCCTGAATAGTGCTCTCCCCTGCTCGAGACCCTTTCACATGACACCCTCACACTACAATAGTAGGGGACCTGGGTATTCTCCCACAACCCAAACCTATCTCAGATTTCTCTCTGGCCTGATAAGTCATCTGGGAGTGATTACAAACAGACCTGCAAACCTAGCCTCCTGAGGTTGCCCTCCTTTTCTACTTACCTTTAGAGGGCATTTGTTCTTTCTGACTCCTCTCATTGGGGCCTGGGCTCCCTCCCTGAGGCTTCACCCCCTTCACCCACAGCAGAAGTAGGATGGCTGCCAGTAATGCTGCTCTGAGGAGCTGGGAGCCCAGGGAAGTCATGGGTCTGCCCATCCACTGTTGTGGCCTTCCCCACTCCCAGTGCCCAGCAGGCTCCCTGCCACCTCCCTCCCCTGTCCCTGTCCCACCCCTTACCCCTTCCCAGCACCGTTTTATTCCCTTCCCTTCTATAGGACCTCTGACCTCATGAGCTCTGTGATATCACAGCCATGAGATGACTCATTCCAGCTCACTAGAGAGTTCCATCACTAAGCAAGAGAGTGGAGAGTATTCAGCAGGGGACGACCAAGCCTTCGAGCATGACTATGGAGATCAATACAGATGACTTAAGAGTTTGCGAACTGCTTTCACATCCATTACATCCTTACAGCAGCAGGTCTCAAAGGAATAGTGTCATCATCCCATTTTATAGATAAGGCTACTGAGGTTCACAAAAAAAATGACTCACCCACTCACGATCACAGAGAAAATAAGGGGCAGAGTGGGATTGTTGATTAATTCTTTTGATTCTAAATGTCACAGCTTCCCACTCTTCCATGCAGCCTTTCTCAAAGGAAAGTGGCTTGCATAGGATGGGCTGAGACCAGATGCCTGAAATAAGGATCCTCAAGTTCTGGGCTGTACTTAGAACTCAGGTCCATTGAAAATGAGAGAGGTGGAGGGGGAGGGGGTAGAGGGTGGAAAAAGGGTCCATCTGGGCTGTGTGTGTGTGTGTGTGTGTGTGTGTGTGTGTGTGTAAGAGAGAGAGAGAGAGAGAGAGAGACAGGGAGAAAAAGAAAGAGAGACAGACACAGAGGGAAATAGGACAGACAGAATGCAGGGTGTCCTGGGCCTAAGTCGAACCTATTCTCTCCTTCCTCCTCCTCCCCTAACTGTCCTCATGCCTAGACTTTGCCCTCTTGTACTGATAGACTGGAACAGCCTTTTCTCTCATTGTACATCCTCTTGTACTTTTAGTCACAGAGAAAACTTTGTTAGAGGCTCATTCACTAAACTTCTTACTTGGTAGAAGGAGGTAGAGTCCTCAGAGAAGAAGCAATGTGGCAGAGAGACAAGGAGCCCACCTAACAG